GTCAGTCAATGAAAAGTTTGATTGTGTGTTTAGCTTGTTGGTTTACAACACACTAGTTCTCAGTCAGTGAAAAGTTTGATTGTGTGTTTATCTTGTTGGTTTACAACACACTAGTTCTCAGTCAGTGAAAAGTTTGATTGTGTGTTTATCGATTCACAATAATTTAGTTACCAATCTATGAACAGTTTGATTGTGTGTTTAGCTTGTTGATTTACAACATACTAGTTCTCAGACAGTGAACAGGTTGATTGTGTTAAGCTTGTTGGTTTACAACACACCAGTTCTCAGACAGTGAACAGTTTGATTGTGTGTTTAGCTTGTTGGTTTACAACACACTAGTTCTCAGACAGCGAACAGTTTGATTGGGTGTTTACCTTACTGATTTACAACACACCAGTTTTCAGACAGTGAACAGTTTGATTGTGTGTTTAGTTTGTTGATTTATAACACACCAGTTCTTAGTCAGTGAAAAGTTTGATTGTGTGTTTAGCTTGTTGGTTTACAACACACTAGTTCTCAGTCAGTGAAAAGTTTGATTGTGTGTTTAGCTTGTTGGTTTACAACACACTAGTTCTCAGTCAGTGAAAAGTTTGATTGTGTGTTTAGCTTGTTGGTTTTCAACACACTAGTTCTCAGTCAGTGAAAAGTTTGATTGTGTGTTTATCGATTCACAATAATTTAGTTACCAATCTATGAACAGTTTGATTGTGTGTTTACCTTGCTGATTTACAACACACTAGTTCTCAGTCAGTGAAAAGTTTGATTGTGTGTTTAGCTTGTTGGTTTACAACACACTAGTTCTCAGTCAGTGAAAAGTTTGATTGTGTGTTTATCGATTCACAATAATTTAGTTACCAATCTATGAATAGTTTGTAATCAAGTACTCTTTCGAAAACATTAAGCACCAAAACCTGACAGCTCTAACAGATTTTACTAATATAAAAATAGTGTACGTTGTAGAAAAAAATATCAACAATTAATGAGAAAAACTTTCGATGATATTAACTAAACTAACGAACGTTAAGTTCTTGTGTTTCAAGAAATAGTAGAGTAGCAGGCTTTCCTATCATAAAAAGTGACTGAATTGATCATGAAAAAATAAAGTGTACCATTTCTTCATCTTCGGCCAGAACCTGGTCATACTCACTAAGTGACACACAGAATATAATGGCTGTGACCCCTTCGAAACAGTGAATCCACTTCTTTCTTTCCGAGCGCTGACCTCCGACGTCGAACATTCTAATGACACAGAACTCTATTAAGTTTCTAAATTCTACATAAAAAAACTAAACAAAAAACGAATACATATCTACTTGTCATACCTCATGACTTTAGAAACACAAAATTATGAATTTATTAATTCTGGATAATTATTTAAGGATTAATGATTTTTATCAAATTATTAAAATAATATCAGTATATTTTAATCATCCTTTGTTACAGATACTAATCAGAAATACATATATACTGTATTATGTTTTATAGCAAACCTCTGTAAAAATAACAGTCTTAATATGGTTGTGTGAAAAAAATACAAATTACCTAAACAAAAATGTTTCTTACTTAAAATGCAGGCCTTTAAAAGAAAACTGAGTTTCCACGATCCCTGTAGTTTTGACACGAGTCCTAAGAACATCCTGTTGAGTGGGGATGTAGTTTGGATCACATATCCTATCCAGGGAGTTTAAATAACTGAAATAAGAAAAGGCAGAAAGACGTATTACCTAGAAATATTTAAGTTGGTGAGCAATTTTAAGTTAAGTTTAATAATAATTTTAAAATATTCTTTAAAGTTCAACAGAAGAGTACAGAACAATTATTACTTTTTTCTTTTTTATTCGAAAAACCTCACTGATATTTTTTATACTACTGTGTATGTTTTTATACTCAAACGATTGGTATTAATGCACCTATTATTTGTAAGATTATTATTATTATATGACGAGAGCGCCTTTTCTAAGCTGGCAAACCATGATTATAATTAATTATACTTATTATAAGACATTTTATTAGGACTATCATATTTTTAACACTGCGTTCTTTAATTAGAATAAAAAAATTAAATTATGATAGGCCTAATACTAATATCATAAGACATTATATTAGGCCTATTATATTTTTTAACACTACGTTCTTTAGTTAGAATAAAAAATGTTTAAAAATTATAATAAGCCTAATGCTAATATCATTAGACATTATAATAGGCCTATTATATTTTTAACACTACGTTCTTTAGTTAGAATAAAAAAATTTAAAAATTATAATAGGCCTAATACTAATATCATAAGACATTATATTAGGCCTATTATATTTTTAACACTACGTTCTTTAGTTAGAATAAAATTTTCAAAATTATAATAGGTCTAATACAAATGTCTTAGGACAAGTATAATTAATTACCATTATTATAGTTATTTAATTTCAAATTTTCTTTATATAATTATATTGCTTTTACTTATTAACTGTTACAAGTACAGGGCCGAACTTAGAAAAAAAGAGGGCCCAGAGCAAGGGTTTATTTTAGGGGCCCTTTTGGTACTTTTATATTTTTCGTGTGGTATGCTACTACCCATACGATCTACTTTGCCAAAATTTCATAGAATTTTTTTTGCAGAGATCTAAGTGAGATAAAAAAGTAAAACTAAGAACCAATATACAATATTATGTTAAAATATTAGACTCAAAAACAATGGCATTCATGGACTTGAAAAGTTTTAACATATTTACTTTTTTAAAAAGGATCTATTTTTATTTTTATGTTTTACTGTATCTTTTTCATCTAATTATATTGTATTTTTAACTTCTTGGGGGCCCTGGGTAAGTTAGATGCCCTGGGCAGCTGCCCTGTTTGCCTTGACTTTAGTAAGCATCAAATCCATGAAACCTCGTCAATATTTCGACTTTCTCCAAACAATACTGCTAAACACGGTCACAAGTTAATCTATACTTCAAATACTTCTCATACCACTTCAGAATTAGAGTGTTTTTTTTTGTACAGGTAGTTTAAGTACTGATAATAGATACATGCTCCAACACACATCTTAACAATAATAATCATTTTATCTTACTAAGAAGCCGAGTCATTCAGCTGGTATTCTCTTGAGCGAGTGTAACACATCTGTACTCCCGAGTCTTGCCACAGTTTTTTCATGACCACTGAGAGGTCTTGAGTGAGTTCACCCTCATGAGTTGCATTGGCCATTGTTAAGAATTGTTGTGTATCACCCTGAAAGGAGATAGAACCTCGTGAATTGTATAAGCCATTGTGAAAAA